CGTGGGGTCCCCCCGAGCTGGCCTGAAGTTGTCGCTGTGCTGGGCCCCTGCAGAGAGCCTCTCTGGAGCCCTGCGTGGGACCAGCCGGGTGGGGCCCTCCCCTTCCCCTTCCCCGGGTGGGCGATACCTTCGCGGGGGACCGACGTGAGCAGCGCAGCCGTGTCTAGTGGGCCCTGAGAGGCCGGAGAAGGGCCGGGCGGCTCTGCTGGGTCTGCAGGGGAGCGCAGGTTTGTGTGAGGTTTGTGCGGCGGACAGCCAGCGCGGTGACGGCCGCTCCCTCCCTCCCGAGTTCACAGGAGGGAGGGAGCCCTACCTGAGCTCCGCACCTGAAGAGCATCAGGCAGCGCCTCCCTGGTGGCCGCATCCACAGCTACTGGGTAGGTGAAGCAGGAGGGGGCCAAGCTGACCTTGCTCGTCTGAAGGGCTCGGAGCATCGACCTCCTCGCGTGGCCTGTGGATCAAGAAGCCTGTGCTGAGCGCCCACGCTCCATGGGGCTGCTGGGAACATCAGGGTGACCCCCAGCCGCTCCCTCTGTGCTCTTAAGGTACCGCTCAGCCCCAAACCGGCTCAGACTGGCTCACTTCCACAAGAAGCAGTCAGGCCCCTGGCCCCCCAGGAAGGCAAGAGGCTCCACAGGAACACTGCCTGCTTCCTCTCCTCCTCTCTTCAGTGCTGTCCCATAGAACTTGTGTGCCGTGGAAATGCTCTGTGTCTTCGTGGCCCAGTGTGGTAGCCGCTAGTCATGTGACCAGTAGACACTTCCAGTGTGGCTCGTGCAACACAGGGACTGAACTTGTGTTTGCACGTGCGCACATACATGTGTGTGTGCTGTCCTGGGGTTGAACCCAGGACCTTGTACTACACTACATCCGCGGTCTCACTATGGTAATTCAGGCTGGCGTTGGATTCACTCTGTAGCCCAGGATGGCCCTCTGGAGCCTCAGTGACCTGCCTCAGCCTCCTGAGTGCCAGGATTACAGCTGTGTGCCACCGCACCCAGCTTCCCAGCTGGGTGTTTATTTTTTGAGACAAGGTCTCACTGAAATTGCTCAGGCTGGCCTCAAACCTGTGATCCTTCTGCCTCAGCCTCCCGAGGAGCTGGGAACACCTGTTCATCACCATCCCTGGCTTGATTTCTTGTCAGTGTGGTGAGCCATCTCAAATCATTTGTGAACAAATTGAGGAACAGAGTGATCCAACGCACAGACGATAATCCTCAGCCACTCTATTCCACGCCCTGGGCCTGACTCCGCCCACTAGCAACTCACCCGGCTCTGTCCCCCCTCGGAGTGCCAGCTGTTCATTGTCCCGAACCACAGAGGCTGCTGTCAGCCGGTGGAGTGCTTGGTCCCAAGCAGCTTCTCTCCCAGCGGCAGGCGATGGAGGCCTTGAGCCATCCCCGGGCCCCCACAGTGTCTCCAGCCCAACGCCCACCTCCCAGCACAACGGCTGCTCGCCATACAGGCCCCGGATCACCACATGGCAGTGGGGGGCCTGGGGAGGCAGTGGCTCAGCTGGAGGGGCTGGCTCCTCAGTGAACAAGAAGGGTGGCTCCATCAACATGTCCCAGTCCATGGCGCCTGGGGAAAGCAGGTTTCCTGGCGAGAGAAGATGGCTGGGGTAAGGGCAGTGTGGAGCCCCGAGCGCCAAGACTCCTTGGTGTCAGGGAAGCCATCTCTCCGTCCAACCCTTACCTGAGTCATCCAGGCCCTGACCCAGCTGTTGGCCTGACTCTGGGCCGGCCCCATCCGGCACTGCACCCAGAGAGGGGTGCTGAGGTTGGCCAGGTACTGGGTTTGCCCAGCCTGGCAAGGACGAGAGACTTCGGCCAGCCAGAGCTGCTCTGTGCCGCCGGCCCAGCACCTCGGCACTCAGGGCTCCTGCCTGTCAAGGAACGCAGAGCTTCCGGTCTCCATCCACCACATACAACTGGCTGTGTGCTCCTGTGAGCTCACCCCCACTCCCTCTTTCCCACTTAAGGTCAGTGCTTGTGTCTGTTTTCCTTGTCTTTTCCTTCTTTACCTAGCTACTTCTACTTATTCTTCCAGACGTGGCTCTTACGCTCCCGACTCCCTCTGACAGAGTGAGCCACCCTGGCTCTGGGCTCCCTGTCTGTGCCATGCCGGGCATTTGCTGTGTGTTGTTATTATAGATGTATCCGTCCGTCACCTAGCTAGACTTCATCGTCAGCCTTGCACCATGTGTGGCACATAGCAGGTGGTAAATAAATTCTGCTGGCTACTTGATGGATAAATGGGGCCGAATCTTCTTACCTTGAGTGAAGCCTGTGGAGGTGCTGGCAGCGGGCAAGATCGGGAGCCCACAGGTTCCCCACAAGCCAGGCTGCGGCAGCCCTGCTGAGAAGGGGGATCCAGGGGGAAGGTGCCCTCTGGTGAGCCAGGGCCCTGGGAGCCTGGGGACTCGCTGCTCCCGGTGGAGCCCGGCCCTGGCTCAGGGCTGGCAGAGCAGTGGGTGAGGACGTACTGCTCCCGGATGTATGAGGAATGGAAGATGCGGCGCCATATGGCCGTGTTGGAGGAGGGGTTGGGTCCGGGGTCGATGATGACTGGGTCCGTCAGAGCATCCGTACCTGCTGGGCACAGGAGAATGGGCCCCAACCCTCTCTGCCCCACCACCCTTTCCATCCCAGCCCCATACATCCGCCAGGGGCTCACTCTGCTCCGAGTCCCTAGCACCCCATGGGCTGGACAGCTCTGCAGACACAGTGCCCGTTCCTAGTGGCTCTGAGGCGCCAGTGGGCTCAGTGCCAGGGCTGGTGACAGATGGCGCCTCCTCTGGGGATGGGAACACGGAGCCACCAAAGCTCTGCCAGCCAGGCTCTTGGCCCTAAGAGGAATAGCATGGAGAAGAAATCGATAGTAGCTATACACTACCTCTTTCCAAACAGGATCTAACAGGGGAAGTAATGATGCTAATAAACGGGAAGTGAAAGACGGGTACTGGGGGAAGAAGAAACAAGCATGTTAGCCCTGGCTAGCAGAACTGCTGCACATCCGAGTTTCAGGTTCGGTCCTGAGCTTCCTGGAAGCCAGGGAAAAAGGCAAACAATCTACTATATGGCTCTCATAATAAAAAAAAAGGAAGAAGCATGCACATTTCTAGGTAAATGTGGCTTTTCATTTAGAAAGAAAAAATTTCTCAAATTCCTGATGTGTGTGAAGTATCCTGGTAAAGGGCACTAGAGGCATGAACTCCGGTTACAGCAACGTGTGCCAAGCATCGGTTACATGGGAGGAAATGGGCTTCCAGAGGTCACGTGATTTGGCCTGTCAGCGGCAGAGCCAGGACGGAGCCTGCACCTCCACCGCCATTAAGTTTGTCTGTCTCTGTCCTAAGTGTAGCAGGGGTGTGTAAGGCACTGTGTGAATGTGAACAGCTCTGTGACACAAGCTCACAGCAAGTGAGCGTTAGTGAGAAACAAAGGCCCTAGATGTCGATGGAGACCTATGGGGGGGTGGAGAGAGGAGGGTTCTGAAGCCCCCACCCGCATACCCCCGGAGGAGGCCGGCTCCGGAAGCCATCCACCCTGAAGAGTGAGCAGTAGCCGAGCAGCTGGTCCCCAGGGTAGAGGGCCGGGATCTCCCGAGGGGTCAGCAGGGCCTCCACAGCATCCGGCACGAACCAGTCCACGGAGATGTCACTGAGAGCAGGCTCCAAGGCCTTCCTCAGAGCCTGCACCAGCTGCAGGGAGCATCCAGTGGGGGGACACAGATCGGGGTGTCACAGCCAGACAGGGCAAGCAAGCTGCTCTTCTCTGATGGTGTCTGCCCAGCCCTGGTCTGATAGGGAACAGGATCAGGCTGGGATCAAGAGAAGGAAGGCTCTGGGAGGCTGAGGCAGGGGGATCACAAGTTCAAACCCAGCTTGGGCAACTTAGTGAGACCTTATATCAAAAATAAAAACTGCCACATCTGTCTCTCTTAAAAGCTTTCTTTACCTCAATAAAATTTTCCTCTTTAAATAAATAAATAAATAAATAAATAAATGAAACTGGGGGCCAGGCATTTGGTGATGAGCTAGTTCAAGGTCCCAAGTTCAATCCCCGGTACCAAAAAAAAAAAGCACCAGGGATTTAGCTCAGTGGTGCCACTGCCTGCCTCACAAGTACAAGGTCCCAACATCGATCCTAGGTACTAAAAAATAAAATCAAAAATAAAAACTGGGTTGGAGATGCAGCTCAGTGCAAAGGCCATGGGTTTGGTTGCGGGGGGGAGTAAAGCAGGGTTGTGGAGCTGAGTGCTTTCTCAGGGCTCAGTCTGTTTGCCCCATGGATGGAACAAGACTTCCGAAGATGAGGTTCAGTTCCTAAGATCTGGGGTGGCCCCCCAGTTCTTCCCCCACTGGGCATCTTGGGGAGAAGCAGGAGGGGCCCACGTAGGGTGCCCAGAGCCCCTGCCAATCGCTGGGCCCTGGCTCACTCACCAAAGGCTGCAGCCTCTCCCCAGGCCGCAGGAAGTGGGCCCTGCCCCTACTGAGCGCAGCCAGCCCCTGGAGAAGCTGATGGCAGGCGGGTCCCAGCCCGAAGGAGAAGCACCTGATGGGGAGGGCAGGCAGCTGTGACCTTCCAGAGGGCCCGGAGGGCTCCGTCCTGGGCACCGGCTCTGCCTGCTTGTACCTGGCTGCCCCCCGGTGCCACCTCATGAGCTCCAGGGCTTGGTGGGTGGTGGCAGCCCCAGGCGAGGCAGAGGTGAGCAGGAACAGCTGCCGAGGGTGAGCCCTGTGTTGTGGCTGCCCCAGGGCCCAGTCCAGCGCAGGCAGCACATCCGAGGTACCCCATGCTGCCTGCAGGGTCTCGATGCTCTCACAGACCAGCTGCACGGTGTCCTGGAGAGAGGCGCACAGGCTGGGCAGGGCTGTGCTGAGACGGCCCGCAGGGTCCCCAACCGCACCACACTCACATCGCTGCAGGGCCGGCTCTCCAGGAAGAGCGGCTGCACTGAAGTCCCAAACACGGTCAGGTTGACAAGGGTCTGAGAGGGGAGGGACTTCACAGCCAGCACAATGGCATCCTGGAGAGGTGGAGAGAGGACAGCGGATTGCTGGCTGGCTGGCTGGCTGGCTGGCTCTGGGCCAGGATCAAATGAGGGAGGGCTGTGGTCACCCAAGAGAGGCCCCGCATGTGAGGAGTCTGCAGGACCCTGGATGCCAGGGAGCGTGTGGGCAGGAGACGGACGGAGGTGGGAGATGAACGGACCCTGTGACGGGGTGTGACTCTGGCTCTTGGAATCCGGGTGCGGCACGTATGAGTGCATGAGAAAAGCAAGGCTGAGTGTGAGGGTGTGAAGACGTGTGCTAAGCAGCGCAGAGACTGGAGGCTGCCCCTGGCTCACCTGTGACCCACCGCCCCCAGCCCAGGGCCGCCCCCAGGGAGCCCCACGGGCCTTGTATGCTGCGCTGCTGCCATCCAGGAGGAAGAGGAGCTCCCGAGTTGCCGTGCCCAGGTGTCTGGGGCTGGAGCTCAGGTCTGGGCAGAAGCTCAGCACCAGCACAGGGTTCAGCAGGATGTCCTTGTGGAAGCGGCGCTGCAGGAACCACACCTGGCGGGGAGCCCCGGGTCAGCCTGGGGGCTCTTAGTGGCACTTGGTCCAGCCGGAAGGGGGACCTGGGCTGGGGGCGGGGGCTTTCCGTCCACCTCTGTAGTGATCTGGATGAAGGCAGGGGTGGCAGGAGGCTGTCCCCTGCTTACATCCAACCACCGCCCTCCTGGTCATCCAGGGGGACTCACCCTGCCCCCACACCATGACAACACCCATCTGCCCTCTGTGACAGGCCAGGGTTGGCAGCCAGGAGAGGTTTTGCTGAGAAAAGAGGCCCGGCCCCATCCCAACACGAGCACTGCCTCACATAACACACCTGCCGGTCCCCGTCACTGTCCCGTTGCTGAAGCCTCTGGAAATCCCTGCGGGCCCGCACCTGGGCTTCGTACTCCGCCGAGCTCAGGCTGCCGGCCTCCAGCATCAAGTGTGGCTGGTACGGCTCTGGGATGAGGGCGACACAACTGTCAGGAAAATCCTCGGCTCCAGACCTCTACTGTCTGGTGCCTCTCAGGATAGGGGACTGAGCCCAGAGCCTCTGCACTGAGCTGTATCCCCAGGCCTTATTTCTTAAATTTTGAAACAGGGTCTTGCCAAGTTTCTAAATTGTCCAACTTGGTCTTGAACTTGATCCTCTTGCCTCAGCCTCCCAGAGTGCTGGGATTACAGGCACGTGCCCCTGTAGGTCCAGGCTCCCTGCATCATGGGCCATCCTCGCCTGGGGCCCCGAAATCTGCATTTGCAAACTTCCTGTCCACTGTGTGGCTGGGCTCTCACCGCTGGGGTGCAGCAGGATCTCCAAGGGTCTGTCACATCGGTGCCCCTCAGCCAGTGTGACACAGATGGTGGCTGCAGAGCTGGCGTGAGGGGGGGCGTCTGCCCGCAGGGCATGTGAGGGGCTCTCCAGGCCTGAGGGACAGAAAGGCAGGGAGAGGTGCCAGTCCTCAGCCCCGGCCCGCAGCAAGAGCACGGACAGCGCCTCCCAGAGGCCAGAGGCTGTGGACTAGGAGCCCAGATGGGTGAGGGCAGCTCTGTCTGCTTTCCTGGGCTGGGTCCTGCGTTTCCAGCTCTGTTCTGGGCTGGTCGCTGAGTTACACATCAACCAATTATCGTCCTCCCTTACATCTTGCACAAGAAAATCCTTTTCACCATGTGGACTGGTCCATTCTAAGTAATCTGTCTTGCCACAGGGAGGACACAGGTAAATTACACTGATAAAAGTGTAGAGGGTGGGAGTGGCCAGGGTGCTCCCAGCCTTACACCTAAGCCTTCAGCCCATCTTCTTTTTGTCCTCCATTCCATCCCTGAGCCTGGTATTATTTTCCAGACTGCTACCCCAGCCAGACCCACCTGCCAGCAGGCATGGCCCGGTCACCAGCATCTCGAAGGAGAAGGTATAGGGGGCAGGGCATCGGGCAGGGCCTGAGAACACATCTGGAGGGGCAGCTGGCTCCTCCCGGGGCAGCCCTTCCTCCTGAGGGCTGCCCACCCCAAAGCAGCTGGTGGGGCTGGAAGGGAGCACGAGGAAGGTGACCCCAAGGCCCCCGGCCCCCTTACCCTGTCCAGCCCAGGGTATCCTGATACAGCCCCCTCACCCGCACTAGACCCAGAGAAGCCGAGGGAGGGACGAAGAGAATCACCATAGACCCAACCTGTCGTCACAGAGCCCGGGAGGCCTGGGGGGCCCTGGCGGGCCTGGCGGGGCCAGTGGGGTGAGCACG